GATTGTTGAGTTCAAATAGGTAATGATTGGGTTAAAAATGGTAGAAATCTTCAAACTTTAATTGAGGATTTGAAAGGCAATCCGATGTCGGAATTCGATAATTTTTGTATGGTTGAACTCGTATCGGAACGAGTATTCGGATTTTATAAGTTTTTCCGGGATTCATGATGTGGGCCCCACGAGCGATTTTGAGTTAAATTTTGGATTTTTAATGGAAAATGTAGAAATTCATATGGAAGTAATTCCTATAATTTTTATTGACTGAATCGAATTGTTTATGACTAGATTTGAGAAACTCGGGCACGAATTCGCGCGGCAAAGGCTTGTTGGAATTTCGAATTGGTTGCAAAGCGAGGTAAGTGTTTGGTCTAACCTTAGCTTGAGAGATTAGGAGTTGTGTCATAATTGTTATGTGTTATTTGTCGAGTACGACGTATAGGCATGGTGACGAGTATATATACGTTGGTGTCAAGCATGCCCGTGAGTCTTATACTTTGATTAATGTGACTCCTATTTGACTTAACTTAAGAGTTTTGCCTCTCTAATTGTTATCTTATATTTCATAACTACTTGACTCGTGTTGATTTCCTCATTATTGACTTGTATATTGTAGGATCGTTGCTACGTGTTAGTTTTCCCGTTATTGAACCGTTTCCTTTATGCCAGTATTCTTTTCTGTGGTTATTCCTTTGAGCTGGTTCCACCATTTTCTCGTGATTTACAGCCCCTGAGTTGATTTACTTGTCGTACCTTGTATTATTGTCATTTTTTGTTGTTATATGTATTGTGGTGATGTTCGATCCTTTTGTTGTGATGTAACTGTTGATTCTGTTGGTTGCGTTGTGTATATATTTTGGGACTACGGATGTGGGATTCCGATAGCTCCCCCTTTTTTGTTTACTTTGGGACTACGGGTTCAATTCCCGGGAGATCCCCCTGCAAATTTACTTTGGGACTACAGGTTAGATTCGCGGGAGATTCCCCCAGTACTGGGTATTTACATTTGGGACTACGGATCGGGATTCCGGTAGATCCCCGCGTATTATGAGTTGGACTACGGGACTGCACCCGGGAGATCCACTGGATATTTATATTTGGGGACTACAGGACGGTATCCTGGGAGATCCCCGGTTGTTTTCTCTGTGCTGAGCGTACTCCTTCCGTGAATATTTTGTTTCCGTTGTAATTGTTGTTATCAATTCAAGTGTTTTAATGGTTTAGATTCCTTTACGGCTGTGATCCTTTGTGTGGAATTCATAGTGTTGACAATACCTCGCCCTATTTGTTTATATATATTCAATACTTCAAATTTCAACAATTGTTACATTTTTAACTCAATTGATTTCTCAGCTAAATTCTTAAACCGTTTGAGGTTGTACTTTACTTAAAAAGGAATTTCTTCTATGTTTTAATTTATTGATTTCTCATATTAAAGGTAACAATTCATTCGATATTTTACTTCAATTGAAAAGGGTATTTTCTTTATCAAATGATTTCTAAAAACAACTTCATCTTTTCTTGTTGATTTCCTAATTGGGTGGGGGGATGTACTCTACTTTATGTTAAGTGAATGAGTCTCCTTGAACATTCTTAATTGTATTGGGTTATGGAACCTATGAACTGAGTAATATGAGGATATTGATGTGCAATATGAGACAGAAATATGTGGGCACGAGGTGCCGTGAAAATATGAAAGTGGGATGAGACCTATATTATTTATGATTATGAAATGAGGCATCACAAGGTGACCTTTACTCGAAAGAATTATATTCGAAAGATGCGTACTTGTAAGATACTTATTTGAAGGAAATATATTTATTGAAAAGCATATTATCTTAGAGGTTATTACTTGAAGGATTTATGGGCGAAACATTTATATTTGAAGGACTCGATAATTGATTGCACTTGTATTTATTATTTGTCGAAATGCATTTATGGTGTTCTTGTTGCCTGCTATTTATATATCACTGGTTGATCATTGTTGCCATGATTGTTATCTGCTTCCTATTATTTTGTACGCTATATTACACAGGTTTATTTGGTAGTCTGGTCTTAGCCTCGTCACTACTTCGCCGAGGTTAGGCTAAGCACTTACCAGCACATGGGGTTGGTTGTGCTGATACTACACTTCTGTACATTTTTGTGTACAGACCCAGGTATTTGATCGATAGTAGTTGTTCGTTGCGGTGGAGACTCAAGGTAAGCCTGCAGCAGCGTTCGCGGTCCTCGGAGTCATCTTCAATTGTACTTATTTCCATATGTTCCTTTTGTTCGGAACAGTGATGTATTTATTTTGTATAACTACTCTTAGAAAAGCTTATGACTTGTACTACCGGTTTTGGGAATTGTAAGTTGTTTAGAGAAATTTCATTTGAAGTTAATAAATATCAATGTTATTTCAGTAAATGTTAGGCTTACCTAGTTTGGAGACTAGGTGCCATCACGACTCCTTCGGAGGGATTTTTGGGCCGTGACAAGTTGGTATCAGAGCTCTAGGTTCATAGGTGCTACAAGTCATAAGCGAGTTTTGTAGAGTCTTGCGGATCGGTACGGAGACGTCTGTACTTATCTTCGAGAGGCTACCGAACTGTTAGGAAATTCCCCTTCTTTCATTCCTTATCGTGCGATATTGATTCAGCTCGAAGTATATAACTTATGTTTCTTTACATCCACTCATGTATGAAATTGCACACTCGTTAATAACTATGCGCCTATGGTTTGTGTTACTAAAGAGGGGTTATAAGGTAGCCAGGGTTGCTCAATCATTGTTACCACGTGTTACCAAGATTGAAGATGCGGATGTATTGAGACATCATTTAGTTGTGCACATGGAGGTGCAACAGGTTCTGATATGTGGTTGATAAGTATGATCTTAAGAAGGTTTAATTGGTTGCCTAATCATGACAGGTGGATGTAGATCTAAAAATAGTTGGTCGTATTAGAGACTATGTGTTTCGTATGGAATTTTTATTTAGCGAATAGTATTTACTAGCAAGTCGAGACACTGGAGGAAGTGAGTTAACTATCAGGAGGATGACAAGTGCCAAGTAAATGGCTTGAGATGTCTCATGACTGGTATCGTACGAGCGGTGAAGGTTAGTATTGTGGATCGTCGGGAATGTGTCTTATGATTTCGCACCAAGGGAGGGAAGTCCACTATCAACGATCAAATTGTAGGGTCATGTGTTATACCAGTTTTGGCCTGAGATGTATTTATGTGGTATTGAAAGATTTTTCCAAAACTTGTATATGATCAAGAGCTGAGATTTGAACGGGATGATGATGAGACTTGGGATATTCCCGCGTCCTTAATAATTCTACATTTCAGTATCAGTGGGGTCATGGAAACATATTCAGTATACTCATAGTGCTTAAGTTAATCACAACACTCGCGTGGGGCAGTCATCTTTTAATGTACCATTGGCATGTAATTTCCTGCAATGGCTATTTAAGTTATCCGGTACAGGCTCAGTATGAGCAGTCGAACTATGGATGGGTTGTTATGAAAATGGTGATACTAGGAACATCCTGAGAAATTATCATAGACTTGGGAGAAATCTGTTCCATCAGAGCACACATGCCACGTACTCCATTAAAGTTACTACTCTACTTACACTACCAATTAGAAGTGGAGAAAAATGGGTAGATGGCGCCTAAGAGGTGAGGCCCGACCCATTGATGTATTTGCTATGGCATAGCTGAGGTCGCTACACTAGATGGAGTCGTAACAAGTACGAACTCGAGTTATCATAAAGGGACAATTTCCTTAACTTGATTTGGTTATGAGTATTGAGGCAAGTCCTCCTAATATGCTCTACTCATGAGTGAGCTTCGTAATCTTAAATTTACTTATGTGAATACTCCTGTTGGGAGATTATGGAGATAGCTATGTCTATCATTATGTGTTGGTCACAAAAAAAATAGTTATGAGCCCAAAAGTGACTTTTGTTAATCATTTTGGTGAGTTTGATGTAATTTCTAAATAATTAATTTCAATTGTGAATTATATGCCCTCTCAGTATGAGGGTTCATTATATGTGTGATTTTGTTTGACGGAAATTAGTTGAAAGAAGGAAGAAAGGAAATGAAAAACTTTAGTTGGCACAATGTGCAAAATAATAGTGATTCAGAGCTGAGGACGAGATCCTCACATTTTTATATGATATGAAATATTTAAACCGGGCTACAAACTGCAGTGGATGTTATATAAGGACGAGGTCTTTGTGATGAAAAGTTTATGTGTTTAAATTCTGCCTTTGCGAAATTAAAAAAAAATTGTACTATAGTACTTATAGGGAGTCATGTGTATGAGGCTTACTAAAATATTTCTTGTACGAATATCTCTGTGCATAATTTGCCAAATTGTATTGTAATTATTGAGTTTTAGCCTACAAGATGAGTGCCCAGGTGGCCTTAAATGTGACTCGTTAATTTGGGTAAGTTATTATGAGGTTTTCATGCCTCGTTGTTAGTAAATGGAGGTTTGAAACAAGATTTTGTTGACATGAGGATAATTGGCTATTTTTAATCGATTATGTACAACTATTAAAACCAGAGATGTGGTTAAGGTCATACGTATGATGTCTTTCATGTCGAAATATCTTTATGACAGTGTCACACTTGTAATGCGGAGATTGGTGTTATTGATAAATACATTGTGGTGATTTGTTGAGTTGTGGATGTGTTGTTAGGAGTTGTTTTGGTGTTACTCTAGCAGGAGGATAGGCCCAATTACAGGGGAGACTCTGCCGAAAATTTGGAAAAATTTGGGAGTTAGAAAAATTTGGGACATTAAGATGTGCGAAGAAAACGATAAGTTACGTTATGTGTTTGAGAGAGGACTCTACTTATTTGAGGAGTGAATGACCCTAAGTGGGGGGAGGATGTAACAACCGTTAAGCGCTATAAAAAGTTGATGCATGAGTAGGCACGAGTTTCTATAGCCAGGTGAGACTAATATCGTATGATGATGTGAAAATTGGACCTTTTGAAAATGTTCGGAGTGTAAGGAATTTGGTCTTATAGTTTACAAATATGGATAAAAGAAATAATCTCAATTGAGGTAGTGTTGTCGGACTTATGTCGAATGCGGTAGCGTGGAATCAACCACGGGTATATTGTTAGATCATATTTTAATGATGCAATTAATATGCATGTGCAGGAGTTCAAAGAAGTAAAAAGGAACTATTGGAACGGCTATGTCGAACAAAGAAGGAAATCATTCAGAAGGGAAGCTGCCTGAAATACTTACGATGTACAAGGAAAGAAACAGTACTACATCAGCAAATCAGGATTAGCTCCATGATTTTGGGAAATCAAATCTGCCATAATGGAATAAAGATTCAACGCAATCTGTGATTGACGAGTCAGATCAAATCACTGAAGAACTATTAAAGCTAGAAGATCCGGACGGCGGTCAAGATTGGAAGGTCCAACAATCAAGGAAGAATACTATCAAACCCGTTATCTGCCGAAGGAAAAGGTCTGAAGAGAAGCAACGGATAGTTCTTTATTCTTGGAAAGAATCAACTCTTTCCAAGGATCAAAACCCTTGGGTTGACAAGCCTTCACCATTGATCCTTGTATAAATTTACAGTGTAACTCCATCCTTAGCATACTTTGATCAAACCAAAATAACTCTCTTCATTCTATTGCAAACAAGTATAGTAGCCTATATAGATCTGTTGTGTAACAAGTCAGGGATAGA